CACTGATACCAGGTTGTAACACAGTGTCGTGGTTTTGTCGTCTCACTGATACCAGGTTGTAACCAAGTGTCGTAGTTTTGTCGTCTCACTGATACCAGGTTGTAACCCAGTGTCGTAGTTTTGTCGTCTCACTGATACCAGGTTGTAACACAGTGTCGTGGTTTTGTCGTCTCACTGATACCAGGTTGTAACCCAGTGTCGTAGTTTTGTCGTCTCACTGATACCAGGTTGTAACCCAGTGTCGTAGTTTTGTCGTCTCACTGATACCAGGTTGTAACACAGTGTCGTGGTTTTGTCGTCTCACTGATACCAGGTTGTAACCCAGTGTCGTAGTTTTGTCGTCTCACTGATACCAGTGTCGTGGTTTTCTGTATTTGTCTAGCGCTTCTTGGGTGGCTCCTTTAATGTTGCCGGTCCGATGTCCGCAAGAGTCTGTCCTATAATTGTTTAATGTGTTTAGCAGTAGCAGTCAAATACACCACTGCCGGCTTGCTAGGCCCGTCGCTTGGTGGGGCAGAAAAAAATTGAACATAGTTGGTGCCTGTCTCCTTCCAGGCGAGCCACTGCACCGTTAGCCGGAAACTTCATTTTTCTGGCGTGCACCATAAGAAGGTGGGGTTGACCTAGTTGCTATACGGGTCATTGGCAGGCTACTTAAATTGCACTTCTCCGAAGAGATGCTAGCCAACCTTAACACTGCTGGATGCAGTGCCAAAGTAAGCCATTCAAGTAAGTAAAGTTGTTGGCACCTCTCCAGATGATACTGTTCCACAGCATTAAGGTCCTTTATGATTATAATTGTTGTGTTTGTTATCAACCGATGCATAGTTGAAAGAAATTTCTGTAATCTGTGGTGCCATTTCAGTGGTTTGAGATGAATTATGTCCGAATTCCACCCTTTTTAGGGGTGCCTAGCTGGTCATGTTCATAGTACACTTGTTTTTACAGTGAGGTGCAAACCACATCTGGATGTGATTGGTTCGATACCTGGTACGGTAACTATAGCTTTCCATTTTGATGTTATCTTGTGTGTCCTATCTTTCTATGAGTGCTAATCAATACATTGCCTGTTTGTTTATAATATATAATGCCATAAGGAGCCACAGCGATAATTAATATTGCCAGTGCTACATGATCTATCCGCCTGCTTTGTTAACTCCAGTGGTAACACCAATACGTCTGGAACAAAGCTTACTTCTCAAGCTGCCAAATCACAAGAGCAGTGCTTTGCCTGTTAAGCCTTCCCTCACAGACCAGCTGCCAACCGAGGCTAAGAGCCTGGTCTGCACTGCCATAACATGAAGTTTTCATGTTGTATTTCCTTGTCTCCTGCGATAACGCTTGTATTCATCACATTTTTCTCTGCCACACTTTATGGCATAAGCGGAGGACAGCAAAAGAAAGAAGATGTATAACAAGCTGGATGTTGTGAGGGCTCTTTGGGAGCGAGTGAACAGTGCTGAGACACAAACAGATCGTTACGGCCTGAGGAGAATGGCGCCGTGAGGAGTAACCAGCGGATCTGGCTGATGCTCAAAACTCAAGGTAAAGGTGAGACGGATATACAATCACTTATTGGTGCCATAGGAAATGGAACTCTTCCCTTGCTGCTGAAGATGGGGATGGAGCGCATATGGGAGTATCCCAAGTGCTGTGATGTTGATTCTTAATTTAACATTTAAGAAAGAAGACAGTTTGGTACACTGTGGCCAACCTTGATTGTTGAGAAGGCACAGTCATTATCATTGTTCATTTGTATCTGCAGGTTCAAGTGTACAACTGCAGGCCTCAGATCACCAACATTTACACCACTGGCTGAAAAATCCACTGCTTCAACATTCATCATTATCATCAAGTGCCCCTTTGACTAGCAACAGCCATCACACTTCTCCAAATCTTGTGATCATCATCAAGTGCCTTGCCGACTGACAGACAATCATGCCTTTTCAAAAGATTCCATGATCATCGTGTATCAGTTCATTTGCTAATACCTTCCATACCGCGACAAAAGATGTCAAGAATATTCTCACATTTCCTTCTAAAAGATGCCAAGAATATTCTCACATTTTCTTTCTAAAGATTTCAAGAATATTCTCACGTTTTCTTTCTAAAGATTTCAAGAATATTCTCACGTTTTCTTTCTAAAGATTTCAAGAATATTCTCATGTTTTCTTTCTAAAGATTTCAAGAATATTCTCATGTTTTCTTCCTTTATGTCTCTTTTAATAAATTGTTTCTTGTCGTGTGGTTTTTGGAGGAGGGAAAAAAGAACATGTTCACTATTCCACTAACAAGCATGTCATAAAAGGCAACTAATGAAAAGTTTGCTGTCACTGGATGTTATGGGCAGGAAGGCAAAGATATCATATTAGTGTGACAACAGCTCTTTTAAAGGCAAATGGATGAGAAGAAGATACACTGTTCCATTGCTGCAACACACATCAGCTTTTTCTCTTATATTTTGGCAAAAAAATGCAAACCGACTTCATTGTTTGTAATCAGATACCTTCCTGGCATCTTAAGGAAGAAAACGTTAGAATATTTTTGGCATCAGATACCGAAGGTGGGCTGCGTGGTCTTGAGGCATGGTGTTTACCTCAATTGCTAGAGGTTCCGGGTTCAATCCCAGGTAAGGGCTGGGATTTTTTTATGCGGACTTAGACTTCTAGTAATTCCCCTGGTCTCTGGGTAGTGAGATCAGACACCCGTGTGCATTGCTGCACACATAAAAATATCCCTCGGCAGTTGGACATCGAAATGGCACTGACAGGGCAAAAATTTTGAGTTAAAAATCTAGCTAAAGTATTTCAGGATCCTGGTCGGTGTTTCAGAGCCTGTGCATTGTGTTGAGATACTTTGGGGACTCAGACTTGAGTTAGAAGAAGAACGGAGCGCTTGTGGGTTACTACCTGTGTTGATGTTGATCCGTTGTTCAAACCTTCAAACAAACAAATCAGATCCTTCATGCCTTTCAGTTCTGATTCTTTTCTTAAGTGCCTGAGTGAGATCCGATGATTGACATCCATAAGCTGCCATGGGGAAGATGCATGATCTCAATATGTTTACTTGAACTCAGGTGCTGTGCTATGGGTTCTTCCTGCTATTTAGTCTCTGCCTTGGTGAAACATGTCTTTTTCTGTCTTCTTTTATGAAGATCTCTCTTCTTTGTTCATGTGATAAATATTGTTCTGGGCATATATGCCTTTTTACTCTTTACAGAAAAGCTGTGACATTTGCACTTTTCGACCAACACATCCTGACATTTTTATTGAAGCCTTTGTTGATTGAGATAGCCTCGTCGTAAAGCTTACAGTAGTGCCACGTATTTTGTAATAAACATATTTCTGGCTTCTTATTTACTGGGTCCTGTGTTAAGTACTTAGAATCACATGTCTTAGTTTACTGCGTTTTATCCCATAATTTTGCATCCGTGGTCCAGCAGTGGCAAAATGCTTGCTGAAGATCTTTGGTTTGAATTTGTAACCAGACTGGTTTTTATAATTGACCTAGCGCTCCAAGATGGAAGATACATAACTGAGATAAGAAACAGAATAGGACAGGCAAAATTTGCATTTTACAAAACAAAGAATATCTTGTGCAATATATCCTTGTCATTGAGAGTTAGAAAAAGAATTCTTGCTTGCTGCATACATCCAGTTTTAACATATGGCTGGGAATCCTGGACAATCGGTAGGCAGGCCAAACTATTTCTTGAGGCCTCGGAGATGTGGTTTTACAGAAGAATGCTTAGAATACCTTGGACAGTCAAAAAGAGCAACCAAGAGGTTTCGAAAGAGGTGGGAGCCTGAAGACAACTTATCACAGACATCAGGAGACATCATTTTTCGGCCATGTTATGAGAAAAGGGAAAATAAAACATGTTGTGACCACTGGAAAGATCTGTGGAAGGAGGGATAGAGGAAGACAACGAGAGAAGATGCTTGACAGTGTTGTTGCACGGCATGGAGGTGTGTCAGCACAAAAACTGATACAGGCTGCAGGAGCTCATGAATTATGGAGAGGCATGATCGCCCACGGCAGTCGGCAAGGCACCTGTTGATGATAATTTACAGATAGGCTGCGATAACTGTACCGTTCTGCCCAATGCATCCAATTCCAGTTAATCCCAAATTGGCCGCCTCTGGGGACCCACCTGTGATGTGGCAGTGGGTCTTTACTCCTCCCCCAAATGGGATCCAGGAATCCCCAAATGGGATCCAGGAACCCCCAAATAAGATTCAGTAAGCCCCAAATGGGACCCAGGAAGCCCCAAATAAGATTCAGGAAGCCCTAAATAGGACCCAGGAAGCCCCAAATGTGACCCAGGAAGCCCCAAATAAGATTCAGGAAGTCCCAAATGGGACCCAGGAAGCCCCAAATAAGATTCAGGAAGCCCCAAATGGGGACCCAGGAAGCCCAAAATGGGACCCAGGAACCCCAAAATGGGACCCAAGGACCCTCAAATGGGATCCAGGAAGCCCCACAGGGAACTTCAGACAAACATCACACTGAGGTACATGACGTGAGCAACTGTTAGAACAGGTTACAATGAGTTCTCTGTTGAATGTATTACTTATTTACACTGTCATCAACATCATCAATCAGCAGCTCCTTCGTCACGACACGCCTGCAAGTCTCTCTGTCACCAACAAATTCTTGAGCCCTGTGTGCTTTCCTAGCCAATTCTGCAGCCCCGTGTGCTTTTCTAGCCAATTCTCCAGCCCCGTGTGCTTTCCTAACCAATGCATCTTTGATTTATTGTATCCACCTTTAAGGAGATCGGCATGACCTGTTCCCTCCCTCACCGTTCTCTCTCCAGGCCACCATGACACTTAACATGGCCAAGATACCTCAGCTCCAGGGACAGGATGCTGTTTATGAGCCAATTCTCCTCAATGTTCAGATCACGTGAAATCTCAGTGGTTTTTCTTCTTCTTGCTCCGTGGTATTTTCAGAAATGTCTTACACTGTCACACAGGCTGAAATATTCTTGCTGCTGACTAGGAGTTCTTCAGCTGCTTTCTCTGTTCCTGGAAAATATAAGGAGGAAAAAAAAGCAATTTAGCCGGCAACAAAGCAGCAGTGAGATCAACAACTACAATAACAAAATCAGCTACATCCGCAGTAACAACAAAACAGAAAGTGTTAACCCTTTCAGTTCTAAATAATGCATGATGTGTTACTGTCTGAAACATAAAATCAAGTGTCTTCTTTTATTTAAATGTTGGTCACTGTATACTTAATAAATCTGGCAACCATAGGGGTATTTTTAATTGCTTCAACAAAGCATGTGGTCGAGTTTTTGGGGCAATATGTGAAGAAAGAAAGTAAAGATTTTTCTACAAAACCTTAAGGGACCTAAGGATTTAAGAAACTATTCTTTTTCTTCTTCCACATTTGAATATAACTCTTTCATTACTAAGGAGTCACCAAGCATTGATTTATAAATACCACTATAACCATTCAGTCATACAATGGTGACTGGCCTAAAGCATTACTGTTTACAGCTAGGCTGTGATATGTGCACCTTTCGGCTCAACACAGGACTTCAGCAGACGCCTAACTGGTCACCTTTTACGCCATGCTTGTTGCAGCAGTGGGCAGTTAGAACTGTATATTCTTTTTTACTTATTTAAGTTTTGTTTTAACCCCTAAAATGAGGGCTGGAACACACACGGGGAAGAAAACCATTGTACGCTGTCGATTTTGGCAACCTATAGCACACATGCCAAGTATGGTCCGTGGAATACAGAATATGTTTGTGTTCTCCGGCTGTAAACTTTGGGTGGAAAGACCTGGTTGTTCGTCCATTTCTGGACTTTGGCTTTGTTCCAGGACCTGAGTTTTGCATGCACATCAGTTTTACAAATCTAACTTTTTTGTAATCAGACTAGTCGGTTTTTTGCATCATGGGCAGATGCACTATGTCTTTGAAGGAAGCTTCCAATGAATAGACTCTTGCGATATGCTTATTTAGGAGGCAGTGGGTCTAGTCTTGTTTCCCCCACAATGGGACCCCAGAACCCACATGAGGGTAGCACATATCTAAGGCTCACACTTGATGTCTCTTCACAACCCGATACCCAAGGCAGAACAGGACTAGAGAAGATGAACAAACAGAAGAAGTACTCTCTAACCACACAGCTAGTTGCTCCACAAATATACAGAACCAATACAAACTAAACATGCAAACACAAACCTTCAAAATCTGTGGAAGCATCTTCAATGCAGAGTTGAACTGAGGAACTAATGGCTCCAAATGTTGTCGGTTGACAGAGATCCTTTTCAATTTGGCCCATCTACCAGATTCTCTCAGCATCTTCTTGAAGTGGAACATCTATTACAAAATCATGGAAAGGTTTAGAAGTGAAATAATGAATCACAAGTAATAATGAAAGTATCCTGCCGTTATCCAATCTTGTAGCCAAAAATTTAACTCATGATTTCTAAATTATCATCTCAAAAAGTGACTTGTCCTAAATCATTATCTCAAAAAAGTGACTTGTCCTAAATTATTATCTCAAAAAGTGACTTGTCCTAAATTATTATCTCAAAAAAGTGACTTGTCCTAAATTATTATCTAAAAAAAGTGACATGTCCTAAATTATTATCTCAAAAAAGTGACTTGTCCTAAATTATTATCTCAAAAAAGTGACTTGTCCTAAATTATTATCTTAAAAAGTGACTTGTCCTAAATTATTATCTCAAAAAAGTGACTTGTCGTAAATTATTATCTAAAAAAAGTGACTTGTCCTAAATTATTATCTCAAAAAGTGACTTGTCCTAAATTATTATCTCAAAAAAGTGACTTGTCCTAAATTCTTTTGTCTTGTCCCACACTAACATATGCAGGAGGAGAAACATCGAAGAATGGAGTGGGTTTCCTGGTACATCCGGACATGTCTAACTACATATTAGACATACACGCAACATGCAACAGTTTTACCATTGTGGAAGAACAAAGGAAGCAAACGAGAATGCGGTCAATATTGGGGCATCTCTCTTTTAAGCCATGTTGGCAAAATGTATGCCAAGATAATAGAAACAAGACAGAGACCAGTGATAGAACCACAGCTGGCAGAAGAACAGATGGGATTTAGGATAAATAGAAGCTGCACAGATGCAATCTTCACACTTAAACAGTTAATAGAAAAGGAACTTTTTTGTGGCATTTGTAGACCAGGAGAAGGTATTTGACAGAGTCGACAGACAATTATTATGGAAAATAATGGCAAGATATGGAGTAAGCGAACACCTCATCGAAGTGTGCAAAAGTTTATACAGGGATTGTAGAAGTGTAGTTAGAATAAATCAGGGAACATCTCATCCTTTCACAGTGACATCTGGAGTAAGACAGGAGTGTGTCTTATCACGACTGCTGTTTATCACCTACATCGACAGTATATGCAAGAATGCCAAGCCCATGAATGAAGATCTTAGTAAGATCAACGAATTACTCTTTGCAGATGACCAGGCCTTGATAGCAGATACAGCCATGAAATTGCAACAACATCTAACATCCATGAATGAAGAATGTAAAACAAATAATATGAGAATCAACACTGAAAAGACAGAAGTAATGTCAATAGGAAAAAAGAAGATAGATCTAAACATGGCAATAGAATAGAAAGGCATTAAACAGGCATCTGAGTTTAAATATCTGGGAAATACATTTACCGAAGATGGGAATTTGGATAAAGAAATTGACATTAGATGCAGTAAAGCAAACCAAGTATTGGGACAGCTAGCGCCCCTCTTACAGCATAAGACAATCCCAATCAGCACAAAGAGACATCTTATTCAAAGCATATTTATTCCAACTCTGTGCTACCAGTGCCAGACATGGTCACTCACAACAAACCATAAAAGAAAATTAGTAACCACGGAAATGAGATGTCTGAGAAGGGCTGTAGGAGTGACCATAAGAGATAAGATCAGGAATGAGATCATAAGAGAACAAGTCGGCACAGAACCAATTCTGGATTACATACAAAGACAGCAAGTGAAATGGTGTAACCAGAGATTGCGTGAGCTGTGTAACCAGAGATTGTGTGAGCTGTGTAACCAGAGATTGTGTGAGCTGTGTAACCAGAGATTGTGTGATCTGTGCATCTCAGAGAAAAGTTAAGGTTTCATTATTTTTCTTCTTCTTTGTTCACCGGCTGTAAGCTTCTGCTCAAAGTCCTGGTTGTTCATCCAACTGGATTTCAGCTTTGTGCCAGGGCCTTAGCTTTACGTGCACAGCAATTTTACTGGCTTATTTATGTGCAGCTGGTTGTTCCTTGTCACTCAGGCAGATGCACTCCAACTTCAAAGGAAGTCCCCAGTTATTCGACACCAATGACATGCTTGTTGGGGAGGCAGTGGGTCTTTTCTTGCACCCCCGCCCCCTTCCACTAATAGGGGCCTAGAATCCACACAGGAAATTCTGTAGAAAAAAAATGAGGAGATGCAGTGACATTTGCCAGGGAGTAGACAAAAATAGATTTTTGTGCCCTTAATCAGGGACAGTTGGGCGAACGGTGAACAATTATTTGGAAGTGGCCGAGATGTTTTTTTTAATAGATGAATGATGAGAATTCCATAGACAGATGAGCAGAGTAATGAAGATATCTTGAAAGAAAGTGACTCACAGAGAGAACTGAATGCCCACATCAGAAGGAGACAATCTATACTTGTCATGAGAAGGACAAAACTGGAGTACATCGTGACGGTGGTAAAATTGGAGGGAAGGAGAGGCAGAGGGACCCCCAAGAGAGAAGATGCTGAACAGTTTGACATAATGGCATGGAAGATTATCTGTGTCAGAACTGACTAAAAGCATGTGAGACAGAAGGCTGTTGATAAACATGACTACTAATGCCAATGGCATTGATTATATGAAGAAGAGGTCAAAGCTCCACCATTAGGGGACTGAACTATTCAGCTCTGACTACAGTGGTATCCCTCGCATGTGAATGTAGTCTGACTGATCCGTGTCAACAGATAAGTTACAAAAACCATGATACTACAGCAATAAGACAAACTTGTTGCCACCAACCTCCTTGCCTTCTAACAATGTTATCGCTGTGCCTGGTCGATTAGCTCTGGCAGTTCTACCCACTCTGTGGATATATGTCTCGATGTATGTCGGGGCATCATATGATATCACATACTGCACGTTTTCTATGTCCATTCCTCTGGTCATCACATCAGAACATATGAGACTGTAGGAGAGAAAAAACAAAATTCTGCAAAGATTTGACCCCTCCAATATAAAATAGGTCACTAGGATGTAGGGCCACATGGCTAGTACTGTCGCCACAGACTGTGAAGTGATGTTTAATTTTGCAATACAAGTCATCATCATCATGTGCCCTGCTAACTGGCATAGGCGCTCATGCATCTCCACAGATCACGATCCCTGGTTGACTGGAACAGCTCTCTTGATGATATCCCTCCTTGCCATCGTTTCAGCCCATACAGCATTATCTCTCTTGGTCTGCCTCTACCCCTTTTTTCCACTGATCTTTCCAATTGTCACGATGTTCTCCAATGTTTCTCTTCTCATTATGTGGCTAAAGAACAGTGTTTGTCTCTTTCTTATTGTTGCATTCACAGTTCTACTTTTATTAGCTTCTTTCAAGCAATCGTTGTTAGTTACTCTGGCCGTCCAAGGTATTCGTAACACTCGTCTCAAAAACCACATCTCTGCTGCTTCCAAATTCTTTATAATTTGTTCACTGACGTTCCAAGATTCGCTGCCATACAGCAGAACAGGTGCTATGTAACATTTTAGAACCCTCTTTCTGACATTAAATTAGAGCAATTTATGGCATAAGATATTTTTGATTTTCTGAAATGCAGCTTTCGCTTGACCTATTCTACTTTTAATCTCTGTCACACATTTTCCATCTGATGATATGAATGTTCCCAGATATTTACATTTATTCACTTGGTTCAGTCTTTTTCCTTCAACTGAGATATTAAAAGGTGGAATTATTTTCGTCTTTTCGCCCATTACTTCTGTTTTCCTAATATTCAATGAAAGTCCTTTCTGAGCACTCTCCATGCCCACAATAATCCCCACAATACAGGTTAATGAAAGGAAAGAAAGCTTGGGCTGAACCCCATGGACAGACAGTCCAAGGCTGACTTCCTCTTGCAGTGGCTTTCTTCCATGTACATATGAGAGCTTCAAATTAAAACCGCAGAAGTGTGATAGAAATTACAATAACCATGCCACGGTTTAGTAACCGGTCAGTACTGTTGTTAAGAATGTCAAGAGTGTAAGGCGTGTGACATAACAGTGAAGACGAACATGGTGACATCAAAATGGCCGTTAAAAATGGACACCCCACCACTGACATGTACCAAATTATAAGTGGGATAATGCACACCGAGGATTTCTTTGGTGCCTGGATTGGGTTTTATAAGAAAACCGATAGCGTTCAATAAAACTGTTAAAACAAGAAGAAGAAGAAAAAAAAGAAGAGTAGAAGAAATAGAAAACAAAGAAGAAGAAAACACACGTCACAGGTAGAGGATGGAGCTATAATCAAACAAGCATGGCAAAAATATATCTTACTGGCAACTTCAATAAGACAGATATATTATCGTATCTGGGTAGTAAGCGTCCTTTGGAATTTTTCTCTAGGGTATGCAAGTGTGTTAGGAAATGAGCAGGCAGATAGACTGGCTGGTTCTGCACCACTTGGTTGTGAAATGATGTATGACAAGCTAGATATCTGGAAGCGAGTGAACAGTGAGGAGGCACAGATAGATTAATACGGCCTAGGAAGAATGGCACTGCGAGGAGTTACCACAGGATCTGGCCGACGCTCAACACTCAGGGGAAGGGCGAGACGAATATACAATCAGACAGTTACTGGTGCCATTGGAACTGGCTTCCTGCTGAAGATGGGGATGAAGCACTTATGGTAGTGTATGAAGTGTGAAAACTAAAGTATATCGTGACTGGGAAAGTTGGAGGGGAGAAAAGGAAGTGGGAGACTGAGAAAGAAGATGCTGGACAGTCTGAAAAAATGGCAGGGAAGATCATCTGTGTCAGGATTGACTGAAATAAATGAGACAGAAGGCTGTGGCTCGACATCACTACCAACGTAAGAAGAATCAATTAAGCAATACAAACCTCACATCAAATCAAACTAGCAAATGTCAGTGATATACTATTATATAGCCAAAGAGAGCCCAGAGCTATAAATAACCTTAAACTACGTAAAAAGTTACCTGGCTTTAATTTTTGACAGAAAAAATCCTAGTTGTTCATACACTTCTGGACTTTTGCTTGTTCCAGCACTTGAGTGTTGCAGGCACATCCATTTGGTAAATCTGGCTTATCTGTGTGCAGACTGATAGTTCTTCACCTTTCAGGTAGTCGTATTCAGACTTTGAATGATACATCACTTCTATCTATGCTGGCCAGGATCTTGGTTGGGGACACTTGCCAGGATGAATCCTCAGAGGTTAAGGCAGGTCTTGACCAGTAGGTGCCCTGGTGCTTGTCTACCATCATGGTTCAGCACCTTTGTATTCCATCTTCTTCTGCCTTTCTAACCCCCAAAAGAGCATAGGCACTCAACCAGCTCTTTCCAAGTCGTTCTATCCTTTGCTATCGCATGCAGCTCTCCCCATGTCTTCCCCATCTTTCTAACTTCGCTTCCTAGCTCCCTTCTCTATGCGTTTTTTGGTCTGCCTTTTTTTCTATGCTACTGTGTGTTCCAGTGCAAAGACATTCTAGTTACATTGTTCTCAAGTTTTCTAAACCTGTGTTCTATCCAATGCCAGCATCTTTTCTTCACCTCTTGGTCTACTTAAACTTGTTTAGTTCTCTCAAAAAGCTCTGCAATAGTGATTCTATCATACCATTTAATTGCCTTTATTCTGCGCAGGCACCAGTAAATGAATGTTTGTAGTTTATTAGTAATTGCCTTAGTTGTTGTCCGTGTTTCTGCTCCACACAAGAGTTCTGATTTGACATTAGAATTAAAAATGTTTGGTAATAGTTTTAATTTCTTACGACCTCCAAAAATTTCCTACTGCAATGTATCCCATACATAAAATCAAATGAATAGGAATGTCTGATTAACAAACACTAACACCTCTTCACTTCCAGAGATAAGAAAACTTACAATTTACTTACAATCAAACAAGCATGAGTGTCTAATCAACAAAATACAAACTTACAGCTGCAGTTCTCCTCTAGCAAACTTGCGGATAACCCTCTCTCTCTTCTCTGTGTGGACTCCGGACGAGAGTTCAGCAACTTTCAGTCCCTCTATTTGCTTAGCCAGCAGATATAGTCTGTCAAAAATATAAAAAATAAAATAGGGTGAGTACAATACCGCAGATTCACTGTAACAGAGTCACTGAAGAAGTGCAAAATAACTAAAGACAGGACAATCAAAGAGGCAGACAAGAAATATTGAACAGAAATAGAAGAAGAGAAAGGAAGAGACAAAAGAGAGAGAGCAGAGAAAGAAAAACAAGACAGAATCTGACCTATTCCATTTATTATTTTGCATTCGCATTTAACCCAACCACATTGGTAACACACAAAAATCACAATCCTAAGGGAATTCCCACACCCAAAAAATCCCAGTCAAAATGTTCACACATTTCACTAAAAAATGCTTTTATCTGCACTGGAAAAGTTAAGAAGACGAGATATAAGGGAACCAACTAAGGATTGGCTGAAATCAGATGTGATTTGCCAAAACATAAAGATAACACAGGCTAGCTGTAAATGACAAAAACTATGTACCAACCGCCCCTGTCAGAGCGAACGCAGAAGATCTAAGATGTGAATAAAATGTGAGAAAAGCCTCAAACAATGACATACCTGTGCGTGGACTCTACAGAATTGGTGAAACACAAAACTTGCTGGAACTTCTGATTGACTACAAAATGGAGGAGAATCAGTGGCTTTTCTGCCTTTTTGCAGTCCATGAACCTTTCCTGGGAACAAAGAATTGACATTTCAAATGTTGAATTGACATTATATGTTCAATGTAAATTTTAGATACCCTACTTTCTCCATGCCTAGGATGTTTTGTTTTCTCAACTTGTTTAAGTTTGAAACTGGTGTGTTGCTTATACATGTACTGTGTTTAAAATGTTTATTTCCTAATTTTGGTGTAAAAAACAATAGCGTCATTTTAAACAAACAGCAAAACTGTTTTCCGTTGTGACTGCATGGCTATGTCTGCAGTGGTAGGTAGAGGAAGAAGTATGGACAGGGCAGACATATTACCTGTGATGTGTTCCAGAGATGTTGAGACAAGGGAGTCAGAGATGTTGAGATAAGGGAGTCAGAGATGCTGAGACAAAGGTTTCAGAGATGCTGAGACAAGGGAGTCAGAGATGTTGAGTCAAAGGAGTCAGAGATGTTGAGACAAAGGAGTCAGAGATGTTGAGACAAAGGAGTCAGAGATGTTGAGACAAAGGAGTCAGAGATGTTGAGACAAAGGAGTCAGAGATGATGACTCGTCTGTTAAAAATGGGTATTAAATGCATGCAGAAACTGGTTGCAAGGCACCAAAAGAATATGTGCCAATCAACTCCTACTGGGTACAGTGAGCAGACAGAGACTGCTGCATTAGAGGACAGAGCACATACTGGTCGGACTGATGTGCTAGGACGACAAGGAACAAATAAATCATGTTTCTCTGTGCCAGAAGTGTCTTGTCATTGTCTTTGTGATCAAGCAATCTATTCTTGGGGGGGGGGGGGGGGGGGGGCCGAGTCGATAGGAGACTCACTTTCAAATCTAGCTGCGACTTGCTGCAGCCCACGGCCGGTGTTCGAAACCGGACAGTTCTCGGGGTTCACCCAGCTCTAGGAAATGGGTACCAGAGTTAACACTCTAGGGTTAATGGAGGAACGTCGCTGTAGCTACAGAGTTTCGTGTGGACGATGACACAGGCAGACAGTTTATCAGTTGTCCGTACTGGTGGCAGAGAGCTTATGGTTAACTGTTTGCAATGATGCCGGTTCACATCTCCAGACTTTACCTTTTTGTTTTTTAAATTTTCTTTTTATATTTTTTTTTCGGAACGGAACCTGACTTTTTTGTTTAAAATCATGCAGGCTGCGAGGTCGACCAAGCCTTAAATGGGTAGAGCAGGTAAAGTCCTGGGAAATAAAGGGGACTGGCATGATGTTGACCACATCCTCCACCAAGTGCTGATTGGTCTACAAAACACAGATTTAGCCCTGTATGCCCAATATGCCTGAAGACATGGAAGAGGGTCCTCAACTTTGACCTTAACTAAGTATTTGTGGGGGGACTCCATGGTCAAGCCGTCTGCCTAATGCCTTGAAGATCAAGGGTTCAAAGCAATACACCAGAAAACATCATTTCCATACGTCAGCCGCAGCCTTCGTTCGTAGCAGTCACAACATTCATATAAAACCAGTCACAATATTTCTATACAGTTAGTTGCGTATCTTTTACAGGACGTTGCAGAACCAACCCCAACAGCCCCTGGTTGTTGTGTAGTTTTTCTAGGAAAATTTACATCCAGTAGTTTGCCATTGCTTTCTTGATACCACTGTCGAAACCAACGCAAGACACATGGCACCCCAGCTGGGATCGAACCCGGCATCCAGGCATTACGAAGCATTCACATCGACTTAGCCACAGAGCCGACACATTGCTAAAAAAAAGTCGCAATATTTATGTATACCAGTCATAACATTTCTTAGGTACAAGTCATCACAACACTCCTAACTAAATCACAACCTTTATACACACCAGTCATAACATTTATATACATCAATCACAACATTTATATACATCAGTCACAACATTTATATACACCAGTCGCAACATTTATATACATCAGTCACAACATTTATATTCATCAGTCACAACAATTATATTCACCAGTCACAACACTTACACACATCAATCACAACATTTATATACATCAGTCACAACATTTATATTCATCAGTCACAACATTTATACACACCAGTCACAGCATTTATATGCATCAGTCACAACATTTATATACATCAGTCACAACATTTATATACATCAGTCACAACATTTATATACACAAGTCACAACATTTATATTCATCAGTCACAACATTTATACACACCAGTCACAACATTTATACACACCAGTCACAACATTTATATGCATCAGTCACAACATTTGTATACATTAATCACAACATTTATATACATCAGTCACACCATTTATATACATCAGTCACATTTATATACATCAGTCACAACATTTATAAACACCAGTCACAACATTTATATACACCAGTCACAACATTTGTATACATTAATCACAACATTTGTATACATTAATCACAACATTTGTATACATTAATCACAACATTTATATACATCAATCACAACATTTATATACATCAGTCACAACATTTATATACATCAATCACAACATTTATATACATCAATCACAACATTTATATACATCAGTCACAACATTTATGTACATCAGTCACAAAATTTATACACATCAGTCACAAAATTTATATACACCAGTCACAACATTTATATACACCAGTCACAACATTTATATACACCAGTCACAACATTTGTAATCAATAATCACAACATTTATATACATCAATCATAACATTTATATACATCAATCACAACATTTATATACATCAATCACAACATTTATATACATCAATCACAACATTTATATACATCTATCACAACATTTATACACACCAGTCATAACATTTATTCACATCAATCACAACATTTATATACACATCAAAACATTCCCATTTAAGTTATATAATTCCTACCTTTAGAAGTGCAGGTGTTGAAAACTGATCCAATATTTGTGATTCTGAGGAAAAAATTATTTTATTATTCAAAATGTTTTGCTGTTTAAATCTATCCAAATTCAAGGGACAGAAATCAGTTTGGTGACAAAAAAGGATTTCACAAATGTGGGGAAATCGGTCCCTTGCTGCAACCTTCAATCTGGAGATACAGGGAGACTTCTGCTACTTCTCTTTCACGCTGACCAGCTGTAAACTCCGGCGGAAAGTTATGGTTGTTTGTCCACTTCTGGACTGCAGTCCTGTTCCATAACTTGAGTGTTGCATGCACATCCGTTTTAAAAATCTGAGTGTTCTCTAACAATAGACCTGCTCACCGTGGGAGGCACTGCTGGTAGCCTAGCTGTAAACCACAACACAACATACCAATCGGCCTATGAAGGGACATACGGAACAAGAACTCTCATCTAAAGATGTACATATTACTTTCCCTATTTGTTATTTATTAAAATATGTGATGTCATAAAACTTCCAGCAAAAAGGTGCTGTTTCTCTAATATAAAAAAGGGAAAATAATTTACGCAGCAAGACAGTCCATAAATAAACTGTTACCCTGCACATCAGCTTCATCGTCCTGTTCTGACTTTGTCACAGAAGAGTTCCTGGCTCCAGGAACAACAGTCGTATACAGCAACGGCAAAAACAGATTCATCTGCTCCAGTTTCTCCGGGTTTTGTGACAGGGTCGCAGAGAACAACAACTTCTGGACCTGGAGTTGTAAACAGAACAAACAACATTTACAAATATCATGAGGTCCATTTTACTACAGCTGGTCCTTCTACTCTTTCTCCATTTACCTAAGTGAAGTGTTGGAAGACATCTTCTTGTATGTGATCACTGGCTGTAAACTCCAGCAGAAAGTTCTGGATGTTGATCCACTTCTGGACATAATTCTTATTTCAGAACTTGAATTCTCTGTGTAAATCCATTTGACACATCTGGCTTATTTGTATGCAGACTGTTTTAAGACGACCATGTTGCTTCCTTTCAGCTGACCTACAGGCTCGTGGAACACCGTTTCCTTCCTGTGCCCTAGAACTTTGTGACTAAAGTTTGAAAAATCTGAGTGACTTTTTCTTAATTATTTAATAATTAAGAATCAACAGATTCTGCACTGAAATGGTAAACAGAACCAAAACAAACAAATCAAGTCTATCGCAATAATTCATCAAGCCCCAAGAATACTACAACCTACATGCTAGACAACCCAGAGAGGTAAGAATTAAAACTGAAGCCACTGCTTGTGGCCTGAAGTTCCGAATCAAATATAAGTATGCAAATGAGACTGAGTCAAAAGCTCAGTGAGAAATGCTGTTCGATCGGATCTCAATATTATAATATAATCTACGCCTACCGGGTGGCTGAAGGCCAAAACTTGTGGACTTAAAATACCAGTACTATATAACGCCATCTAAACAAACATGACCGCTAACCAATGAACACATTACAGAACTTCTTCTTCTCTTCCTCCATTTACCTCAGCGAGGTGTTGCGGGAGATGTATGGATCGTTTGTGCGCTTTTTCCAATGCATTGTAGAAGTTGGTGTTCATTTCTGTTTGGTTGCTCCTGATTTTGTCACTCCATATCTTGCATGGTCTTACCCTTGCTCTGTGTTCATTTTATTTCGTGGCTCTCTGCGGCAGTTGGTACCAGGGCATTCTCGTCAGGTGGCCAAACCATCTCATTTGTTCTTCTTCAATCAATTGTATGACTGGTTTCAGCCCTAAACTTTTTCTAATTTCTTAATTACACATTACAGAACTAAAAGTATTAAAAGCCGTCAAACACGTGATAATTCTTAAAACAGACAAAGGAAGTGTTGTCATGGTAATGAACACATCTGACTACAAAGCCAAAATGACAGACATTTTATTGTATCATTCAAAGTCCAACCAGAGACCACAACTACAAAATTAGGGAACTTAGAACAATAATTTCGCAGTGAGGCTGCAGAAATGCTGTATCCACTTGACTCTCAGATCCTTCAAATGTACGGGCTTCCTAGATAAGGCCTGAAAGCCTCTGAGGCTGATCTTAGATGAACACGATGCACTAAGAGCAACCGTTTGTATTTCAGGAGAATTGTTTCAGTCTGTGTGCTTCATTCACTATAAGTTGATCTAACTGTAGTAAATAAAGCACCTGATGAGATTCAGCAAAACATGCCTGGAAATAAACTGTCCAATGTTTTCTTTGTGCCTGCATTATTTAAAATAATTTGTGTATGTTATGACATTAGTGTTTTCTCAACTTCTCTCGATATCTATGTGGTCCATATAAAAAAAATGGAGCGACCAAATCAAATATATGTATAAGCACACTTCTGCATGACTACAAAATAATTACTTACGTGCATCACATTTTTCTGTGCACTGAAAAAAAAAATAATTTCACCAAGTAAATATATAATAAAGAGAGGTGCGTGCGTGTGTGTGTGTATGTGTGCGTGCGTGCATGAGTGTGTGTGTGTATATATATATATATATATATATATATATAATATATATATATATATATATATATATATATATATATATATATATATATATATATATATATATATATATATATATATATATATATATATATTTATTTGGGCTGTACCGAATATTCGCTTCGTATTCGCTTCGGGGCCGAATAGTGGACCTATTGACTATTCGGTATTCAGCTGAATAGTTGGGGTCGGGCCAAATAGTAGTTACCTTACACCCGCTTTTGCATACACGGCCTTAATACTGACAACATGGAACGATTGGTTTTGTTGAAAGACACTGCAGCTTTCTTGCATTAACTAAGCTGTCAGTGACAATTTCAAAGTTTAGTTACTTGTAATACTTAGGATTCTTTCATTCCCAGTTATTAGTTACCACAGACTGACTGAAGGATGCTAAACAAAAAAAAATGTTTTTAAATGATTACTATTCAGTACGAATACTAACTAAACATGGAAAGAATATAAACTCCGGCCACATCCAAGTCGATAATATAAAAATCAAACGAACGGAAACATACAAGTACTTGGGTGCAAACTTCAACTGCTTCAACATGCTGAGAGAAGAAATACAATCTAGAGTACAATCTAGAAACAAAGTATACCATGCCCTTCAACATTTGCTAAAGTCAAAGTGAATGTCTCGCAACACCAAGATCAAAATATATAAAACGTTGATAAGACCAGTCGTTTTATATAGCTCTGAAACTTGAAGCAGAAAAAAAAACGATGAGGCCTTATTACAGGTTTTCAAAAACAGTCTTACGACAAATCTTTGGACCAATCAAAGATGCTAACAGCAAGAAATGGAGAGTGAGAAGCAACAACATAACACATAATCTGTTTAAATCACCATTGATCACTGGCATCATGAGAGCTAACAGACTAAAATGGTTGGGGCATATTGAAAGAATGTCAGATGACAGAGAAGTAAAAACTTTATACACCTGAGAGAGGAATGAGCGTAGACCACGAGGCAGACAAAAAAGAAGATCCAGAGGTAATGTCCAGCCAGAACTGCAAACAACATGTGTCACAAATTGTGAAGATAAGGCCAGCCAGAGAGATGAATGAAGACGGGTGATATCTGCAGCAGTAAACCTCAAGGGCTCATAATGCTAAAGAAGAAGATGACTATTCTGTGCTACTTTATGTGAAGTGCCGGCTCTGTGACCAAGTCGATGCGAACGCTTCGTAATGCCGGGATGCCGGGTTCGATCCCAGCTGCGGGCCATGCACCTTGTGTTGGTTTCGACAGTTGTATCAAGAAAGCCAACCGTCCAGAATGCAATAGCAAACTACTGGATGTAAATTTGCCTAGAAAAACCTCACAGGGGCTATTGGGGTTGTGTCTGCAACGTCCTGTAAAAGGATACGCAACTAACCTTAATGTGAAGTAAAAGTTCAGCATACATCTGACATTATGAATGTGTTTTGTTTTTTTTTAAAGAAATATTTTATACACTATCTGTATTCGTATTCGGCCGAATAGTTGGTCCCGTTATTCGTATTCAGGTGAATAGTGAAAATCACTATTCGGTACAGCCCTTATATATATTATATATATATATATATATATATATATATATATATATATATATATATATATATATATATATATATATATATATATATATATATATATATACACACACAAATAAGTATGTATGTGCAGACAGACGTACAGGCAGTGTATACAAAAACAGGAGGTTACTTACATATTCAGCACTTCTGACTTATTCAAAGTGTCCTGTCTTTGTCCTTGGCCTGTCATCCCTAAATGTCATTGAAGCACAACCCTCAGTCTATCCTATCAGGACTCAGTTTGACTTTTGCTAATATTTCCACTTCCATTTATTTCAATGAAATAAACATCATTTACTACTAAATACCATAGACTTTATCTTTATAATAACTATCGATTACAGCTTGCAATAATTGAATCTTCTGCTTTGCTTTGCCTGAAACAAGCAGTCTATATAAGCAATTTTGTCCCTCGCATCAATGTACTTGCCATTTTTAGTTCTCTTAGTTTAAGTTCTCTTCAAAACCGTGCTTTACGCCTGGTTTCAGATAATAAACAAGTTGTAAAAAATAATCTCTATAACCATCCAAGACTATTGCCATTTAGAAAACATTTAATTTTTAACAAGGCAAAATTTATTCATAAAATTTTATCTCAAAATACTCCAAACTACAAATTAAATCAAATCCTATAAATAGCAAGCGACTAAATTTATTAAATTTACCTAAACCTAGAATAGATTTATATAAAACAAGTTTAGCGTACTCCACTGCTCATTTGTGGAACCAACTTCCACTAGACCTGAAAAATTCTAAAAGTCCCTATTCATTTAACCGTAAACTTTTTCAATTTACACTTACAAGCGATTATATGCCACCTTGAATGTAATGTAACACATATTGCATTATCAATTTATTATTAAACAAAGTGTGTATGATATGTATGTTTGCGCGCGCGCGTGTGTGATATGTATGTATGTGTAGGCGTGTTTATATACATATGATTCTGAGTATGTTGTTTGTCTGCTTGTGTATCTGCGTGTGTGTCTGCGAATGTATGCGTCTGCGTCCTTGTGTGTGTGTGTGTGTTAGCGCGTGTGTCCACATGTATGTTTCAGTATGAATTGGTCTGTGTGTGTTTCTGTGTGTTTAAGTGTGCCTCTTTGCTGTGTATGTGTGTCTGCGATTGGATCCATGTAGCTGTGTATATGTGTATGTGTGTGTGTCTCTGTGTTTGTCTGCATATTTCATGTGACTGTGTGTATATCTTCGTTTGTGTCTGTGTGTGTCCTCAGATGTGTTCGTCTGCATGTTTGCCTGTGTATGTTTATGTGTTTTGTCTGCGGGTGTGTCTATGAGGCTGTATGTATGTATCTTTGTGTGTGGGTGTCTGTATGTCTGTCTGCGTGAGTGTATGTGTCAGCATGTGTCTGTCTGTGTATGTCTATGTGTGTTTCTCTGTGTGTATTGTGTGTGCCCCTTTGTTGTCTGTATGTGTCTGCATGTCAGAGTATATGTCTGTGTGTGCTGAATATATGTGTCTGCGTGTGTATTTCTATGTGTTTGTATGTGTATGCATTTCTGCGTGTTTGTCTGTGTGGGTGTCAGATTGTGTTTGTCTGCCTGTTTGTATTTGTGTGTGTGTGTGTGTTTGACTGCGTGTGTCTATGTGGCTGTATGTATGTGTCTGTATGTTTGTCTGCGTGTGTGTGTGGTGTGTGTGTAAGTGTGTGAGCACGAATGTAAATATGTGTGCTGTGCGTTTTCCTGTGTGTGTTTATATGTAAGAGTCTGTGTGTGTATCTGTATTTTTGTCTAAGTGAGCGTGTGTGTCTTTGTGGGAGTGTCTCCATGCATGACTGTATTTATGACTGTATGTTTGTATGTGTGTATGCCTGTATGTTTGTATCTATGTATGTTTGTTTGTATGTATGTATGCCTGTGTGTATGTTTGTTTGTATGTATGTATGTATGTAATGTTTGCATGCATGTATGTGTGTGTGAGTGGGTGATCGTGAGTATGTGGGTGTATGTATGCACGCGCAGGTTTTTTGCATGCACTTTACAACTCATGCTTTTGTGTTCTTTTATAATATTCATATATGCATATTATCATATGATCATAACATGCTTTATTAGTAAAAATACAACTGCTGTGCGAAAGATGGTTGACTGGAAGGGCTGAATGTAAGACGGGCCTGCGTGCCAAATTTGTGACCCTTTGAAAATAAAGTTCGTTCGTTCGTTCCACTGTTGTTCTTTCTGGCCAATAGGTTGGTCTTAATGTGTAATACCTGGTACAGTCCTTCAGTATCAATACTTAAATGCACAATTCATGAACATCTTCTTCTATCCTTCATTTCCCTGACAGAGCATAGGCCCTCAACCAACTCACAATGTCCTGTCTGTTGCTAGCACACGCGGCTCATCAATGTCCTCCTATTTCTGTAGCTTGACTCTTTAGTTTCTTTATCCATGTGTTTTTGGCTAAGGCCTTTTTCTACACCCTGTGAGTTCCAGTGTAAAGACATTCTAGTTATACCGTTCTCAGATTTTTTAAACTCCTGTCCAACACCAGCACCTTTTCCTCATTTGAATTTGTTTAGTTCTCTCCTAAAACTCCACATTAGTGATTCTGTCATAGCCTTTAATGTCTTCTATTCTGGGCTGGCACCAGTTAATAAATGTTTATAGCTTTTCAACAACTGCTTTAGTTGTTACACTGGCATCTTTCTGTTACATAACAAAAGACTCAAGCATCTTCTTTAAATGTTTTCCTCTATCTCGCCACAAATCTTTCCAGTCATCACATGTTTCAGTCTTTCTCTTCTTAAAACACAGACACAAAATGGTGAATATTTCTGACATCTATATCTTATCCTTTTTTTTTTTTTCAAAACTTTTAGATTACAGATTTGGGTGTGTAAACAATTATGACCATAGTTCTTAAAACCACTTCTTTTAACCTTTTTTTTTTTTTTTGAATTATTATCAACTAATTCCTTGAACATAACTAAAAATTTATTTGGAAGAGGTCAACATGTAGTCTTATAGATGAATTATGAGAACTGCCTGGACAAATACAAAGAGTAATGAAGATGTCTTGAAAGAAACTAACTCATGAAGATAACTGATTGCCCACAACAGATGGTGACAGTCTACATTCTTTAGTCATGTCATGAGAAAGAGAAAACTGGAGGACTTTGTGACGGTGGAAAAGCTGGAGAGGAGGAGAGGCAGAGGGAGACTGAGACAAAAGATGCTGGACAGTTTAACATCATGCAAGGAAAATCATCTGTGTCAGAACTGATCGAAAATACCCGATACAGAAGGTTGTGGGTAGACATGACTACCAACGCCACACAGCATAGACTATAATAACTAACTCCTGTGAAATTCAGGTAACTAGATTCACACTTTGTGCTGTACTGTATGTTGGTGTCTTCTTTGTCTTTGATCCTTCTACCAGAAAACTTATATCAGGAAGCCAGTAGCCTTAATGAAAACAGTCCAGAACTCCCCATGTAACATACAGCTTTGTTTTCACTGAGGTGGGAACAGCCCAAATGGCCTCTCTGTTAGCAGTACAGCTGGCAGTGTTGGAATGCAGGCTCAGCATTTTCTGGTGACCAGTTGCAGGGGCTCGTCTCTGTGTTTCCTATACTGAACAACCGGAACACATGCTGGCACTCTGTTGTGCCATGTCCCTAGTCTCAACATGATACACTGTCTTTCTCTAGAGAGGCAATGAAATGACACTGACCCTCTCTAGAGAGGCAATGAAATGACACTGACCCTCTCTAGAGAGGCAATGAAATGACACTGACCCTCTCTAGAGAGGCAATGAAATGACACTGACCCTCTCTAGAGAGGCAATGAAATGACACTGACCCTCTCTAGAGAGGCAATGAAATGACACTGACCCTCTCTAGAGTGGCAATGAAATGACACTGTGTGTCTCTAGAGAGGCAATGAAATGACACTGTGTGTCTCTAGAGAGGCAATGAAATGACACTGTGTGTCTCTAGAGAGGCAATGAAATGACACTGTGTGTCTCTAGAGAGGCAATGAAGTGACACTGTGTGTCTCTAGAGAGGCAATGAAATGACACTGACCCTCTCTAGAGTGGCAATGAAATGACACTGTGTGTCTCTAGAGAGGCAATGAAATGACAATGTCTCTCTCTCTCTCTAGAGACAGCGTTTCTCTATCTAGAGAGGTAATGAAACGAAACTGACTCTCTCTAAAGAGGCAATGAAATGACAATGTCTCTCTCTCTAGAGACAGCATTTTTCTTTATCTAGAGAGGTAATGAAATGACACTGACTCTCTCTAAAGAGGCAATGAAATGACAATGTCTCTCTCTAGAGAGGCAATGAAATGACATTGACTCTCATTATAGAGGCAATGAAATGACAATGTCTCTCTCTCTCTCTCTCTCTCTAGAGACAGCGTTTCTCTGTCTAGAGAGGCAATGAAATGACAATGACTCTCTCTAGAGAGGCTATGAAATGACAATGACTCTTTCTAGAGAGGCAATGAAATGACATTGACTCTCTCTAAAGAGGCAATGAAATGACAATGTATGTCTCTCTCTCTCTAGAGACAGCGGTACTCTATCTAGAGAGGCAATGAAATGACATTGACTTTTCTAAAGAGACAATGAAATGACAATGTCTCTCTCTCTCTAGAGACAGTGTTTCTCTATCTAGAGAGGCAATGAAATGACATTGACTCTTTCTAAAGAGGCAATGAAATGACATTGTCTCTATCTCTCTCTCTCTAGAGACAGTGTTTCTCTATCTAGAGAGGCAATGAAATGACATTGACTCTCTCTAAAGAGGCAAAGAAATGACAATGTCTCTCTCTCTCTCTAGAGACAGCTTTTCTCTATCTAGAGAGGCAATGAAATGACACTGACTCTCTCTAAAGAGGTAATGAAATGACAATGTCTCTCTCTCTCTCTCTCTCTCTCTCTAGAGACAGCTTTTCTCTATCTAGAGAGGCAATGAAATGACATTGTCTCTATCTCTCTCTCACTCTAGAGACAGTGTTTCTCTATCTAGAGAGGCAATGAAATGACATTGACTCTCTCTAAAGAGGTAATGAAATGACAATGTCTCTCTCTCTCTAGAGACAGCGTTTCTCTATCTAAAGAGGCAATGAAATGACAATGTCTCTCTCTCTCTAGAGACAGCGTTTCTTTATCTAAAGAGGCAATGAAATGACAATGTCTCTCTCTCTCTAGAGACAGCGTTTCTCTATCTAAAGAGGCAATGAAATGACAATGTCTCTCTCTCTCTAGAGACAGCGTTTCTCTATCTAAAGGCAATGAAATGACAATGTCTCTCCCTCTCTCCCTCTAGAGACAGCGTTTCTCTATCTAAAGAGGCAATGAAATGACAATGTCTCTCCCTCTCTCCCTCTAGAGACAGCGTTTCTCTATCTAAAGAGGCAATGAAATGACAATGTCTCTCTCTCTCTAGAGACAGCGTTTCTCTATCTAAAGAGGCAATGAAATGACAATGTCTCTCTCTCTCTAGAGACAGCGTTTCTCTATCTAAAGAGGCAATGAAATGACAATGTCTCTCTCTCTCTAGAGACAGCGTTTCTCTATCTAAAGAGGCAATGAAATGACAATGTCTCTCCCTCTCTCCCTCTAGAGACAGCGTTTCTCTATCTAAAGAGGCAATGAAATGACAATGTCTCTCTCTCTCTAGAGACAGCGTTTCTCTATCTAAAGGCAATGAAATGACAATGTCTCTCCCTCTCTCCCTCTAGAGACAGCGTTTCTCTATCTAGAGAGGCAATGAAATGACATTGACTCTCTCTAAAGAGGCAATGAAATGACAATGTCTCTCTCTCTCTAGAGACAGCGTTTCTCTATCTAAAGGCAATGAAATGACAATGTCTCTCCCTCTCTCCCTCTAGAGACAGCGTTTCTCTATCTAGAGAGGCAATGAAATGACATTGACTCTCTCTAAAGAGGCAATGAAATGACAATGTCTCTCTCTCCCTAGAGACAGCGTTTCTCTATCTAGAGAGGCAATGAAATGAGTCTTGAGAACATTTGTTGTGGATATTCAGCCATCATTCTCTGATACTAGTTTCTATTCATTCCTTAGTCTCTCAGTGGGTTATGTTATTCCATTCTGGAGGAGAAAGAACAGATCCACTGCCTCCCTAACAAGCATGTCAAACAAGGCTTCTTCTTCACGTTCACTGGCTGTAAACTTGCTGGACAGTTCTGGATATTCGTCCACCTCCGGACTTTAGTCTTGTTCCAGAACCTAAGCCTTGCGTGCACATTAGTTTTTCACAGCTTACTTATCTGTGTGCAGACTGTTGGTTCCTTGCCTCTCAGGCAGGTACACTCCGACTTCAAAGAAAGCCCAGTTAGTTGACTCTTACAACAAGCTTGTTGAGGGGGTGTTCGGTCTATCCTTGTTTTTCCCATAATGAGGCCCCAAAACCTACACGGAGAACACAAGGCGACTAATCAGTGGAGTTCACTTCGAAGTTCGAGTACATCTGCCTGAGACAGGAGGAATCAACAGTCTGCACACACATAAGCCAGATGTGAATTTTGAATGTGCATGCAAATCTCAAGCTATCAAATAAGACCAAAGTCCTGAAACAGCAGTGAACAGTAAGAAGAAGTTGAAGATAAATGCGTGGGGGTGGGGGTGGTCACAACGTGACTGAACTATGAGTAAACTCTGCAGTAATGGGTTTCAAAAGATAATAAGAGCAAAACATGAGCAAAAGCCAAATGTGTCTTTCAGTTAACCGTGGTTCAGCATGATGGTCGCTCTCATAGATGTTCATTTTAGGCTTTCTCTTGGAAGTCCTCATTTTCTCAGGTCATTTGTCTTCACTAATCCAACTTATTTGGCACAAAGAAACCAGACCACAATACACCCGATACTGCTCCCAGTAGGTTGAACGTAGTTAATTTTTTGTTTTGTCTTCATAAATGGACGGACGGGCCCAGTATTTGTTAACAGTCTAGGTTTGGTAGCCACTTGTTGATATTTGTTCCATCTAACATGCATAAATTCTTTTCATAACTTCCGATTAAAATGTGCAGTTCTAATCGCTTACATTCTACATATACACTTTTAAAATCCTACCTGGCAGCAGTGAGTGGACATGGTCGCTCTCTGTGGTAGGGGAAGTAAGCACCAGGTTTTGGTGTGTATGCTGCAGTCTCGACGTGACTCAGCCAGTCATCGTACACATCCTCCATCTGCCGATCAGCCTCGTCAATGACCTAGAATTCAGTAAAATGTAAACTCTTTCACTGCCATGCAACATATCATACTTCCATTTCCCATGTGAGTTCTGGGATCCCACTGGGGGTTCAGAGAGCCTCAATGAGAGATTCTGGGGCCAAACTGCGGGTTCTGGGGCCTCAGTATGGGTTCTGGGTCAGCAATGTAGGTTCAGGGGCATCATTGTGGCTTCTAGAGCCAAACTGTGGGTTTAGGGACCTCACTGTGAGTTCAGGGGCCTCACTGTGGGTTCTGGGGACCTATCGTGGGGGGAAGAGTAGACCTTTTTTTTAAAAGCATGAGGTAAAAGTCTACTAATTTGAGTTGACAGTACACCTGCCTGAGAGGTCAGAAACCAATAGTCTGCATTCAAATAAATCACATTTGTAAAACGAATTTTCATGCAAGTCTCAAGTCCAGAATAAAACTTAAGTCCAGAAGTGGATAAAAAACCAGAATTTTCTGCCAGAGTTTACAGCTTCAAGAAGATCATAAGTTCATTATTCATTCCAAAGACAAGATATATTTCTGATTGTCCTCTATCGCAGATATATTTCTGATTGTCCTCTATCGCAGATATATTTCTGATTGTCCTCTATCGCAGATATATTTCTGATTGTCCTCTATCGCAGATATATTTCTGATTGTCCTCTATCGCAGATATATTTCTGATTGTCCTCTATCGCAGATATATTTCTGATTGTCCTCTATCGCAGATATATTTCTGATTGTCCTCTATCGCAGATATATTTCTGATTGTCCTCTATCGCAGATATATTTCTGATTGTCCTCTATCGCAGATATATTTCTGATTGTCCTCTATCGCAGATATATTTCTGATTGTCCTCTATCGCAGATATATTTCTGATTGTCCTCTATCGCAGATATATTTCTGATTGTCCTCTATCTCAGATATATTTCTGATTGTCCTCTATCGCAGATATATTTCTGATTGTCCTCTATCGCAGATATATTTCTGATTGTCCTCTATCGCAGATATATTTCTGATTGTCCTCTATCTCAGATATATTTCTGATTGTCCTCTATCGCAGATATATTTCTGATTGTCCTCTATCGCAGATATATTTCTGATTGTCCTCTATCGCAGATATATTTCTGATTGTCCTCTATCGCAGATATATTTCTGATTGTCCTCTATCGCAGATATATTTCTGATTGTCCTCTATCGCAGATATATTTCTGATTGTCCTCTATCGCAGATATATTTCTGATTGTCCTCTATCGCAGATATATTTCTGATTGTCCTCTATCGCAGATATATTTCTGATTGTCCTCTATCGCAGATATATTTCTGATTGTCCTCTATCGCAGATATAGATATTTCTGATTGTCCTCTATCGCAGATATATTTCTGATTGTCCTCTATCGCAGATATATTTCTGATTGTCCTCTATCGCAGATATATTTTCTGATTGTCCTCTATCGCAGATATATTTCTGATTGTCCTCTATCGCAGATATATTTCTGATTGTCCTCTATCGCAGATATATTTCTGATTGTCCTCTATCGCAGATATATTTCTGATTGTCCTCTATCGCAGATATATTTCTGATTGTCCTCTATCGCAGATATATTTCTGATTGTCCTCTATCGCAGATATATTTCTGATTGTCTTCTATCGCAGATATATTTTTGATTGTCGTCGCAGATATGATCGCTATCGCAGATATATTTCTGATTGTCCTCTATCGCAGATATATTTCTGATTGTCCTCTATCGCAGATATATTTCTGATTGTCCTCTATCGCAGATATATTTCTGATTGTCCTCTATCGCAGATATATTTCTGATTGTCCTCTATCGCAGATATATTTCTGATTGTCCTCTATCGCAGATATATTTCTGATTGTCCTCTATCGCAGATAACTGTTTTATCAACTCGTTAATCTCAATGATTAGCTCTCTTCTCCTTCTGGCCATGGTCTCAGTCTTACAATTTCTGTGGAATCAAAACCCTGTCTACTTTAAACTCTCAGAATATAAGGAGTCTGAAGTAATTACAGCAGGTCAAGTAAAGGTCCCTTTTCCACACTTTCAGGCGTATTGGGCATATAGGGCTAGACCTATATATGTAGACCTATCGGCATTTGGTGGGTGATATGGTCAGCATCACACCAGCCGCCTTTACTTCCTAGGACTGTACCTGCTACCTGCTCTGAGAGCCAAGGTCATTTCTGAAAGAAAAAAGTCAGACTCCGTCAGGACCCAGCCCACGACCTTCCGACCCACAGGCAAGCGTCTAGCCACAACACCACGGCGGCTCCCAAGTAATTAGACTGGTACCAAAAGAGGCAGAAGAGCAAATGGTTAAGAATGCAGGGTTTTCATGTGAGAGTAATGGGTTTGAATTCTCTCGAGAATTCTTTCGAGATACAGAAACAAAAATCGTAACTTTCAGTCTATGATGACAGCACTAGCTATAAGGCCCTAAATCCTCAGGCTTAAAGACACCCCCCCCCCCCCCCCACCAACTGCAAAAGTTGCAAAAACAGGCAGTAAAGGCAGGTTTTTCATGGCACCAATTGGGGTAACAAAATATACACTGTGTACGGATAATTCTGCAGCTCAGTGAGATAATTGTATAAATTAGAGAATGAAGTACAGAAGACTGAGAGGACCCAGACTAAGCTGAATGTGATGGCAAAGGATAGAATAATGTTGTGTAAGATGTTTGAGGGCTTAGGCTCCAATGGGGGAAAAAAGGGCAGCAGAAGAAGGAACAAGGAGAAAAAGAAGAAAGCCATAGACTTCACAGGTAAACGCACAAGCCACCAAATCACAGCAGTTCGTGTAATCCACACTCACTCATATAACCAGGTGTGATGCTAACCTCATCGCCACCCCCCCACCCCCCCAAGTATCAACAAAATAGGAGTCTAGCCAATGAACCGCTAGAGTGAAAAGGTCTTTTTTATGGGTTTTTAAAAACTCATCTAAAAACTGACCAGGTAGCGTAAATGTGTGAGATCAAAGCCCTCTGTTCGCTGAAGATGATCCAACAGCCTGCCTCTTGTTGCTACAACAATGTCAGCCAAACTGGCCCATTTTTCTGAAGCTTCTGCATGAGGCCTGTCAAGAGAAATATGTATACAAATTAAACACTTTCTTGAATATCTCCCACCCCATTTCTTCTTCCATCCAAAACAAAATGTCTTGGACATAAATCATTATGTAAACCAAATTTCACAATTAACAACTGCAGGCGAAGAAATAAGCACGCAGAGATATAGAAACACTATTGTGGGTCTAGTACAATATTATGATGGCGTGACGTTAAAACATAACCAACAAGTGCTGATTGTCTATAAAATTAAGCGTTTAGCTTCATGTGTGTGTTGTGGCACTGGTGTTTAAAAAAGGGGGATGTTTACTTTATTCTTCCATACAACTTTGTCTTCATCGAGGATAGAACAGCCCAAATGGCTTCTCTGTTAGTCATTGGTGTTAAAAAAGGGTCTTACTTTCTTCCTTTTTATCAGCGATCAACGTTTGCTATGTGTCAATTCAAATATGGACCATAAACAGGACAGTGCACTTGAATCCTTTATTGGTGCCCCTTAGTTTCTCTTGCTGAGGTGCCTTTGTGAGCCAGGTTTCTTTCCTTTAACTGGCAAAGTCTAAACAGTCCTGTAGGATATGGTCTGGGGTTTGCTTTGATGAGCCACAACCACAGGCAGCGATGAAGCAAGACCTATTCAACGTAGGTGCACATTTTAGTCTCGGCCTTTCTGTCAAGCCTGTTTACACTGTCATGTTCTGGTCGGTAATTGCTACTGTCTTCACAGATTGCATCTTTGCTTCTTTACAACTCTAAGGTGGGTTGGGCTGCTCCAGGTTCCTTGCAGTCTTTCAAACCTGTCTGCATTTTTTTCTTCATTTCCCGGGATACCACAATGAAGGACTAGTTCAGTTTCTGTGAACAGCTGTCGGATACTGTGTGATTTCGCACATGATGCTGTTCTGTCTGGAGCATGAGATGACCTGAAAGAGGTCCTCTATCTTTTTTACTTACAACAAACAATATGAACTTTTCAAAAAACAAACATTACTGTGTTGTTGCAATGTAATTTATATAATACACAGAACTAACCAGAACTGAGAGTTACAAATCACAGAGACCTACTTTCCTAAGTAAACCCAAGCATGTCATCATCATTATCAATTTCCACTTTAGCAGTTAAGTGTCGCAGGGAGGAACAATTTGCGATTCACTGCTAGAGGGGTAGCAATGCTAGTGTCATGCGTATCCATGCAGAACAGGGCTTTTCAACTCAGTTTACTCAGAAGCCAACATTTTGAAAAAGAAGATCATCATGTGTCAGAGTCGCGAGACCCAGCAAAGAAAGATCATTAACATAATACAACTGGCAATGATCCGTGGGTCTTTGCCTTTGAGGACCAGATCTAGCCTGCTATATAGCCCCGATGTGGAAGCTCTTTAATGCCATCAATCCATGTTTTCTTAGGGTGACCTCTTGCTACCAGATTTGTTCATGACTAATAAAACAATGATAAAACATCAGAGTGCTTCGCCCATTATTCGACCGATATTACCTTTCTCTCACCAGTTTCACCTGCTCCAGGTAAAACTCTTTCCTTCCGGCCAACAAGGCAACCTGAAACCAGAAAGATATGGAAGTTAACATCTATGACGATCATCACTGACTACAAACAAAACTAACATCTGTATATTTAAATTCACTTTCAAATTATCTTCATTGCTTATTGGGCATTCCCATAGGCAGCCCCCCCCCCCCACCCACCACCCCCCAGAAAAAGGTGCCAGTACTCACCAGTATAGAGACACCATGGCGTAGTCTGCTTGCAGATCACAAGGTCATGGATTAAGGCCCCGAGGCCAGATTTTCTGAAGAAAAACGACCTTGGCTCCCACGTTAACCCAACCTTAAAAGCAAAGTCCTGGGAAGTATAGGCAGTTGGCTCAATGCTGACTACATCAACCACTGGCTGCTGCTTGGTCTATTACAAAAATACAGGACCCTATATGCCCATTACGTCTGAAGCCGTAGAAAAGGGTCCTTTTACTTTACAGTGTTTTCCAAACTTTTTTTGAAGTTTAAACTGGGGGGTGTCTTATATATGGAATCTGGGTGCTGTTCATGATATCCGTGATGTTTAAATTAGGTTACACACTGCGCACCTTTTCATTCATAAATCATGTGACTACTCTGGGTCAAAGGGGTGTGATGTAATTCTAGATTATTTCATGGACACTGACGATGTGCGATGTTGCGGCGTGTCGCTGTTCACTGCACCGTTCTGTGAGCAACGCCGCATTGACCGGTGCGCAATATTGCGCGTTGCTGTTCACTGTGCCTTACTGTGAGCGAGCAACGCACTGTCGTTTGACTGCCGTTCTGAGCAGACATGAATTTTCTGGAGTTGTCAGCGCTGACCAGCGACAAGCAGAAAAGCATTAAATTCCTGAAGGAGCACAGCATCTTGCCTTCGTCGAGACGTTGTTGTAAATATCATCTCATGGTCCTGACTCAGAGTGATCGTGGGGATTATTTGAGATGACGTCATGCAGGTTGTTGATAGAAAGTTGGCTATTAAAAAGGTTGTTGATAGAAAGTTGGCTATCAAAAAGGTATGTATCTGGAGCGCGCACATCTTAGTTACAGATTGGGGTGATACTTTTCATACACTGCTGGAGTCGGGAGTTGACGAGCCTTTCGGTTTGCCGGTCGGGGCTGGGGATGTCACAGTCAACAACAGTTGCCTGGACTAGTTACCTGAGGGAGGTTTGTGCAAGCTGATAATGAAACCTACAGTGATCGGGGGACAGAATACGACGGTCGAAATCGACGATGTGTCTTTACTAGATGCTAGAATGAGGTCGGTCTAATCTTGCTGAGGCAATTGATATTTGGTGGGATCTGCCGGGACACAGGCGACTGTTTCATGTTCCGCGTTGCCGACAAAAGCGTAAAAACACTACTACCTATCATAAGAAGATGCATTCGTTCTGGCACAACAGTTGTGTCGGACCGGTGGCGTGTGTACCAGGCAGTTTGTGACATTCCCGGAATAACTCACCTGGCAGTGAACAACTCTGAGAATTTTATCAACCCCACGACCGGTGCAAATAAAATACTCAGTGCATCGCGCGATTTTTGGCAGCTGAGAGAAAGCCAGCCACCGCACTTTTTAGTGCCACCTAGAAACAAAAAGGAAAGAGCGGTTAACAATTGTAACACACCGCTGGTCTCGGCTGTACACTTTCCACTGATGTGAGTTGGGGGGGGGGGGGGGGGGAGGGAGAGAGGGAAGGGAAAGAGGGCGGGAGTAAATTGTCGCAGCCAGGAAACCTTTCAATATGACGAGACGCAGTGTGCTTGACACAGACAGATGTCCCGGAACAGACTCCCACCTGTGTGAGTCAGAAGTCCTAGAAGCTATAAATAAAAGGTCAACGTCACAGACATTGTGAACATCACCGGAATTTGTTTAAAATATTTTATTTTTATTTTGGGCTTAAAAAAATAGAGGTCAACATACACTTAGGGGGCATCTTATACACTATAAAATATGGCAACTCTTTGGCTTTACACCTGACGAGAAGAAGCGAAATAGCCAGGTGATAAAAAAGAGTGCCAGAAAAAAACCTACCTTGAGAGAAGTGCCTTGCACGTATTGCTGGAACACCTTGTACACCTGGATGGCCAGATCTCGGACAGGTAGGATCACCAGTGCCCTCACATGAGGCACAACTCTGTCTTGGAGAGCCTGAGAAAGGTTTCAAATATTTTGTTTCAGTACACATTTTATCACACAAGGGACAGGGTTACGAATACCAGCATTAGAGAGGAATAAGGCCATGAAATCGTTTTGCCACCCAGTGAGACTGCAGCCAGACCAAACTGTGAATGAGACTTTTTTTTACAGCAGAACATCTGCGAGGAAGGTCAAGAAAGAGAAGGATAAATGATGTGGCTGAAACTTGCAAAAAGATGAACAAATCAACCATCCAAGCCACCCGAGAAGGGTATCAATAAGACAACAAAAGAGAAAAATACATTTTGTCTTTGTATGTCTGCCTGCTACAGTCATGAGTCATCTCAATCAATCAAGTGGGTGCCATCTCCTCAATGAAGGATGGTGTAATGGATCTCCAAAACACTCAGAATGATGACTGTCCATCTCTGGATGTTATCTTCCCACTTGTACTGCCATCTGCCTCTTGCTCGCTTGCCTCCAACTGTTCCCTTTTGTATGATTTTTTTTTTATACAAGTGTCCTTCAACTCTTTCAGTGGCAAGGAATGCATCATACATTCATAGGCTCCTATCTAGAAGCCCAATGAATGCCAGATGCGCCAAATATATGTTTATCTTGGGCCTCTGATGCTAAACCCCCTGGGTCAATGAGTTAATATAGCCAAAATACTTCATTGTTTCTTTTTTTATTTATTTCAGCAACCCTCTTTTTATTCTGAGTCTATTCTTTCGGCAGAAAGCTCTGGTTGTTCATCCATTTCTGAACTCTGGTCCAGTTCTATAACTTGAGTTGTGCTTGCACACCCATTTTTACAATCTGGCTGAGTAGTCAAGGCATGGCATCAGCCTCGAGTGCTGGGGGTACTGGGTTCAGACCCCGGTGAAGGCTGGGATTTTTCACATGGTCTTCTAGTAATTTTTCCTAGTCTCTGAGTAATAAGATCGGATGCCCTTGTTGCTCAGGTAAAAAAAAATCCTGTGGCAGTTGGAAATCAAAAAGAGTAGCTTAACGGCGCTGCCCTGGCAAAATTTAGAGTTGAAAATCTACCCAAAGTAGTTTAGGATCCTTGCTGGTGCTATAGATTTCGTGCACTGCGGTGAGAATCTTCAGACTCAGGCTTGAGTTAGAAGTAGAACGGAGTACTTATGGGTTACTACCCTTGTGCCGTCATGCTGATCCATTGTTCAAACCAAACCCATTTTACAGATCTGGCTTATCTGACTCCCAGGACATGCAGGCGTTGTTGGTAATGAGAGAGCTGATAGACTGGCAGGTGCTGCATTAATTGAAGATGGCTGGTCCATGTATCTTGCAGACATTGTCCTTGCCCTGAGGCCTCAAGAAAAATTGTTTGGCCTGCCTACCGATTGTCCAGGACTCACAGCCATATGTTAAAACTGGATGTATATAGCAAGCAAGAATACTTTTTTTAACCCTCGATGATAAAGATATATTGCATAAGATGTTCTTCATTTTATAAAATGCAGTTTTTGTCTGTCCTAATTCTGATCCTTATCTCTGCATCTTCCATTTGATGTTATCCATGTGCCCAGATACTTAAATTCCTGTACTTGTCCCAAAATAAATATTTAAAAAATGCTTAAAACAAACTAGATTACCTGAATAAAGAGCATTAACGAATTACTTTCTGTTTTCTCCCTCTTCAGGAATGCAGTTGGTGGGATTAACACCTCTAGGATGAGACTTAAATGGGTACAAATCCCAGAAAGACTGTTCAATCATAAAGCAGTCATATTAGTTAGTTAGTCTTGAGCCTAGGGTGGCGCATAAGGCACTCCATGTCTGGCAGTTCATTGCCAACTGTTTGAGGTCTTAGACATCTATTAGGCCCATGGTTGAGTCTTCCCTGATGATGGTTCTTTGCAGGGTCACTCTTGGTCTTCCTCGTTTTCTGTTCCCTTCTGGTGTCCATATGAGGGTTTGATTGAGGAGCTTTGGACTTATTCATTCTGAGTGCATGGCCGATGTAATTCCTGCGAAGTTTTCTTATAAAACTAAATACATTTTCTTGCTTGGTCTCTTGTCTTATTTGCGTATTGGATCTGAAATCTGTCCAATGCAGAGTTAGATTTCTTTTAAGACACCCGCTCTCAAAATTGTCTATTTTAGTTTTTTTTATCTAGAGCTACTGTTGCTTTCCAACTGTCGCATCCATAAGTATAGCATTTACATTGGGGCTCCATAAAATGGCTACCAGGCACCTACATTGCAGTGTGCGTGGGTTATTACCAAAATACTATAAATAATAAACAGGTTTACCTGAATAATTGGCAGAACAAAAGTAAGAGTTTTCCCGCTTCCTGTTGGGGCAGAGATGCAGACATCACGTTGTCGGAAGCCAGCGTCACCAGCGTAAACACCGTACTTGCACTGAGCAAGTAGTTCTGGTATCACTGCCCACTGAACTATTAAAAAAAAGCAAAATCAGAGCTGTGAATAAATCAGCATCTTCAAAAGAAGCATGGCTTCAAAGTTGCCCAGTAGTTCAGGTCCTTTAGATCTTTTACTGAAACAGTTAAGCAGGAGCGCTGGGGGGGGGGGGGGGGGGGGGGGGGGGGAGGACTGGCAGATATAAAGCAGGTTGTGCACCAATGAGTGATGAAGTAATGCACGACAAGCAAAATGTGATCAAGGCCCACCACACTACCACACTGGGTTCAACACTCCCATAAGGTAAACAAAGTCCTGGTGCAGAGATCAGCATGAATGCTCCACCTCTATCGTCACAGGCCACAGAAGAGTTCCCCTGCTCTCATACCAGCAGCAAAGTGATGATGTCTGATGCCTTCACTCACAATGTAGGCTGGGTCACTCACAATTTAGGCTGTCAGCCAAATCCCCTGGTCACTCACTGTTGAACCCTTCCCTCAATGTAGGCTGTCAGCCCGATCCCCTGGTCACTCACTGTTGAACCCTTCCCTCAATGCAGGCTGACAGCCAGATCCCCTGGTCACTTACAATGTAGGCTGTCAGCCAGATCCCCTGGTCACTTACAATGTAGGCTGACAGCCAGATCCCCTGGTCACTTACAATGTAGGCTGTCAGCCAGATCCCCTGGTCATTACAATGTAGGCTGTCAGCCCGATCCCCTGGTCACTCACTGTTGAACCCTTCCCTCAATGTAGGCTGTCAGCCAGATCCCCTGGTCACTCACTGTTGAACCCTTCCCTCAATGTAGGCTGTCAGCCAGATCCCCTGGTCACTCACTGTTGAACCCTTCCCTCAATGTAGGCTGTCAGCCAGATCCCCTGGTCACTTACAATGTAGGCTGTCGGCCAGATCCCCTGGTCACTTACAATGTAGGCTGTCAGCCAGATCCCCTGGTCACTCACTGTTGAACCCTTCCCTCAATGTAGGCTGTCAGCCAGATCCCCTGGTCACTCACTGTTGAACCCTTCCCTCAATGTAGGCTGTCAGCCAGATCCCCTGGTCACTCACTGCTGAACCCTTCCCTCAATGTATTCTGTCAGCCAGATCCCCTGGTCACTTACAATGTAGGCTGTCGGCCAGATCCCCTGGTCACTTACAATGTAGGCTGTCAGCCAGATCCCCTGGTCACTTACAATGTAGGCTGACAGCCAGATCCCCTGGTCACTCACAATGTAGGCTGTCAGCCAGATCACCTGGTCACTTACAATGTAGGCTGACAGCCAGATCCCCTGGTCACTTACAATGTAGGCTGTCAGCCAGATCCTCTGGTCACTCACTGCTGAACCCCTCCCCCAAGTCCAGTGTTTCCCAGCTTGTTTGTTCCAAGCCCCACCTAAGCCTTTCTAAAGTTCTTATACCCCCTAAGTAACAAATACAAATATTTTAATATCCATAAAATATTTCCCCACCCCTTTTAAAAATCTAATTGCCTCCTGTGACAATCTGTTTGTGCTTCCACACTGTTAACTTTTTCCATTTCAGTATTTATGCTTGTCAATTACTTTTGGTTATTTAATCCAGAAACCAAGCTGTCAAGGGATATAATGATAACGATGAGAGTAGTTCTGAATACACATAATGATTGATGAGACCCAATTTCATAATAAGAATGTGGGAAACAAAATGGAAGTAGAAGAAACACAAGCATACCTGGAAAACATTTCTCTACACCGTTGTCTTTCAGTTTTTGTGTAAGATTTGGATCCAGGGATGGAATACTTGCAAAGTCTTGCACAGTTTCTTTGATGATCACAGGTATCCTCAACCAGTCTGGCAGCACTCGCTCTACCTACACACAAAAACATTATCAATGTTACGTTACACAAGTGACATCATTGCATACTGGGGATTTCCATGTGTACAGTCCTCCTATGCAGCAGCCATTCCAAGCTATTTCTACTGATTGTTCACATAAGGAGTTGTTTATAATCAATGACTACCATCTCGGTCTGAAAGGCCGCACAGACGTACTTCACCATACTTTACTCCTAGGTCACGCAGTTGAGTTAGTGTCAGAGATTCATCATTACCCACTAGCCTTGTCTGTACAGCTATGATGATGCAAGCTCTGCCCAGGCTTCTTCTCATGTGCACTGGTGCTTTGCTTGCCAGCTAGTCTGCTCACTCCTTACCCTTTAAGCAGGCATGACCAGATGTGTAGATCCAGGTGTGGGAGATCAAGTGCAATTTTCAAATGCTTTCTACCCTTTCCCAGCTTATACTTTGTGTTGCAATTCTCTAAATCATCTCGTCTTATTTCATCTTGCACCTTTTGGTGTCGAGATGAAGTATAATTAAGACAAGCGTACCCAGTTCTACACTTCGTAAACGGGGATTCCCAGGGTGTCTGTTATTCCCTGTGTCTATGGTTTGCATGTTCGGCCTCTTTTTCGCTTCCGACCTGGTCTGTACATCATTACTTACTGTGGTACACTGTTGGTCGACACTCGCGTTATATGACTAAACCATTTCACTTGTTGTTTCTATGTAAATCCAGAGCTGCTGCTACCTTTCTAAAACATGTTCATGGATAATACTATTTTTTTCTCCATGCTTCTATCAGAAATATTGTAAAGACATTTTTTTTTTCAGATAAAAAGATGCCAAGAAATGTCCTGGGAAGTGCAAACGGATGTCTGCTGTTGACCCTTTTGTCGATCAAATGCTGACATCTTTACAAATATGAATCTAGCATCATATATCTGATGCACTAACAGCGTAAAAAGTGTCTTTTTCATTTATCCATTATTTTTGTTGGTAAAGTGACTCACAGAGCATTCTGAGAAAGGTGGAGAGAGGTATACTCCATGCAGAGTGGCTTCACTATATCCTCTGAATATTTCCATCAGAGAATGTCGATGTTTTGGGAAATGAACATCCAGTAAGATTGGCTGGTTTCTCATCACTTGGTAAACTAATGCATGACAAGCTAGATGTTGTCAGGTGCAGTTTCCTGACAAAGAGGCAGATACAGTTTCCTGACAAAGAGGCAGATACCAACCACTCAGAGAGAGATAGAGAGAAAACCCACAGGGCTGGATAACTAGCTAAAGAAAGAGAAACATGAAGGCGTTCTGTGAAGACAGTGACATTCTGTTATGGACATGCTGAAAGTACATTAAAATAATCTGTATCAATACCTTTGGTTTCTCCTTAGCTTTGAAGTCCCCTAAGATGGTGAAGCCTCCGATATCTTTAGGTCCCTCAAACTCTTCCATTTCTTCTTCCTCTTCGTGATCACTGGCCAGGTCTTCATCCAGTGACATGTCATTTTCTTCATTCACTACACTGTTCTCTGCATCTGCTGCTTTCTCTTCCGGAACTTTCAGTGATTTGTTTTTTGGCTTTGCTGCTTTCTTCTTCCCCATTGTATTAACTGTTAGATGACAAATTTCAAGTTGGGTAATTAATCACATGAATAATTTAGGATGATGATGATAATATATAATAAGATAAGACCTGCAGAAAGGGCAAATCTATGCTATAAGAAATGTGTCCTGAAAGATATCAACCCTGACACAGACATCTGGGAGAGAGCAGCTACAGGCAGACTCTTTTGTAGATAGGCAGTGAAAGTCAGACTATCACAGTTTGAAAGAGGCCAGGCAGTGAAAGTCAGACTATCACAGTTTGAAAGAGGCCAGGCAGTGAAAGTCAGACTATCACAGTTTGAAAGAGGCCAGGCAGTGAAAGTCAGACTATCACAGTTTGAAAGAGGCCAGGCAGTGAAAGTCAGACTATCACAGTTTGAAAGAGGTCAAACACAGCAAGCTACAGAGAAGACATATGAACTGAGAGAAAACCAGCCTCAGAACAATCAAGTGTACTGAGGTTCCTGGGAGACTAGACATGAAAATCAAGTGTACTGAGGTTCCTGGGAGACTAGACATGAAAATCAAGTGTACTGAGGTTCCTGGGAGACTAGACATGAAAATCAAGTGTACTGAGGTTCCTGGGAGACTAGACATGAAAATCAAGTGTACTGAGGTTCCTGGGAGACTAGACATGAAAAGACAATTGTTGAAAGAATGTCTTCTTCTCCTTCTTAGCTTGAATCTCCAGTAGAAAGTTATGGTTGTTCACTAATCTTTGATAGCACATGCTCAGCATTTTCTGCTGCCACACTACAGGGACCTGTCTTTGTGTTTCCTACAATGACAAGTTTGAACATATCTCGATGAAGTCTGTTGTGCCCTGTCCTTAGTCTGAATATAACACACTGTCCTCTAGAGAGGCCATGAAGCGAGTCTTGAGGAGAGAATTTGGTGTGTGTATCCAGTCACCTTTCTATCGGTGCCAGCATAGTCGCTCACAACAAACCAGAAAAGAAAAATTAACCATGGAAATGAGATGTCAGAGGTTGCAGCAATGACCAGAAAAGATAAACTCAGGAATGAGGTCATGAGTTACCCAGAACCCACTTCTAAATTATAAGCAAAGACAACAAATCAAATAGTCTGCTTACTTAGAGAGAATACCTTATGATGCCATACCATACCAGGCATGCACTAATAGAGAAGGACACAGTACAAGGTAGATCAAGATTAAGATGGACAGATATAATCAGAGAAACCCTACAACAGTATAGTGGTCCAGGCTGCCAGAAGAGCAAGAAACAGATTCTCTCTTCGTCTTCTTTGTTTGCCGGCTGTAAGTTTTGGTTGTTCATCCATCTGGACTTCTGCTTTGTGCCAGGACCTAAGTTTTGAGTGCACAACCATTTTACTGGCTCATCTGTGTGCAGTTAGTTGTTCTTTGCCACCTGGGCAGATGCACTCTCACTTTGAAGTCAACTCTCAGGACATGTTTTTTTGGGTAGGCAGTGGGTCAGTTCTTGTTCTCCCCACAATGGGGCCCCGAAACCCTCATGGGGAAAACATAATCTTATATCTCCTTCCACACTCACAAGGAAGTGAATAAGACAAAGAAGGTGGTGGTATTTTTTGTTTTTGTTGAAAAGACAGTGCTGGAGATGCAATGTGTAAATAACTTCTTCTATGGAGACTGCATGTGATGGTGAATGACCAAAAGGTGGGCTATAATTCAAAATGATGATGAATGACCAAAAGGTGGGCTATAATGCATGATGATGATGAATGACCAGAAGGTGGGCTATAATGCATGATGATGATGAATGACCAGAAGGTGGGCTATAATTCAAAATGATGATGAATGACCAAAAGGTGGGCTATAATTCAAAATGATGATGAATGACCAAAAGGTGGGCTATAATGCATGATGATGATGAATGACCAGAAGGTGGGCTATAATGTATGATGATGATGAATGACCAGAAGGTGGGCTATAATTCAAAATGATGATGAATGACCAAAAGGTGGGCTATAATGCATGATGATGATGAATGACCAGAAGGTGTGCTATAATGCATGATGATGATGAATGACCAGAAGGTGGGCTATAATGCATGATGATGATGAATGACCAGAAGGTGGGCTATAATGCATGATGATGATGAATGACCAGAAGGTGAGCTTTAATGCGTGAAATATTTATGAACCAGCTATAGAGACCTTGTGATAATTGGACAAGGTTCACCGTTTCACATGATGTGAGCAGCAAGTCTCTGGTCAGAGCTCTCTGGTCTGTGTCCTCACTGTTTTGTCCTGGTCAGTTATTATGCAATCAATAATCAAACTGGCAAAGCCATCTATTTCTATCTGTCTTCTATTTGCTCTTTTTCCATGTTTCAAATAATAATAATATCATTACCATTATAAATAACATGTTGAATGAGGAAATGAAATTACATTAAGAGAAATGTCTGGACAAGCAATAATATCAGCAGTTATAAGATGGAAAAGATGGTGCTATGTTGGACACATTCTGAGAAGAAACCAACAGTTATAAGATGGAAAAGATGGTGCTATGTTGGACACATTCTGAGAAGAAACCAACAGTTATAAGATGGAAAAGACGGTGCTATGTTGGACACATTCTGAGAAGAAACCAACAGTTATAAGATGGAAAAGATGGTGCTATGTTGGACACATTCTGAGAAGAAACCAGCAGTTATAAGATGGAAAAGACGGTGCTATGTTGGACACATTCTGAGAAGAAACCAGCAGTTATAAGACAGAAAAGATGGTGCTATGTTGGACACATTCTGAGAAGAAACCAGCAGTTATAAGATGGAAAAGATGGTGCTATGTTGGACACATTCTGAGAAGAAACCAGCAGTTATAAGATGGAAAAGATGGTGCTATGTTGGACACATTCTGAGAAGAAACCAGCAGTTATAAGATGGAAAAGATGGTGCTATGTTGGACACATTCTGAAAAGAAACCAGCAGAGATGGACATTGATGAGAGAGGCCAAAGCTGCTGGACAGGATTCCATCCATGATACTGAACTGATAGAAAGAATGAGAATCTCATAATGGATCAACTGAACAGACTGTGATATACACTCACGAGCAAATAAAATTAAGGAAGCTGTAGGCAGGAGATACGGTAGCTGCTGCTCGTGGGAGCCATCTAGTTTTAAGTTTAGCCCCGTTCGGCGCCACAGAAGATACTCTCGGCGGTGAGTTTAACTCGGCAGAAGCTTTTCCACGCTATACTGTGTGGCCGCCGGAAGAGGTCCGCAAGTTACATGTCACTGAGGCCCTGTTAGGGTATATTTTCGGCCTCGATAATTTGGGACCGTTATTCGGAGGATAGCTGGATAAGGAATGTGTGTGTGTGTGTATATATATATATATATATAAAACAATATAAAAATTGTATATTTCAGAATTACAACTACAATAAATCAATAATATCAAATAATTACTACATTAATTTGATTAATTAATAGCAAATAAAAAGTAAGAACAACAATTACATACAATGACCTGATGGATTGAATAGAATATGATATATTATTATTTATATCACACACATATTAGAACTTCTTCTTCTTCTGCGTTCGACATCAGTCATGCTAAACATTGAGTCCCGTCTGGGTCACAAATAGAATTGTGCGTTTAAGGTCGCCACCGGTCCCCCATAGCATCTCTTGCAATGTGGCTCCCTTGGGCCAGATCCAGTCTTTGCTGGGAGAGGTAAGGGCAGTACTATAGTATGTGCCCAGGGGTCTGTCGTTCTGCTCCATAATCACAGGCAGCAAATTCTTTTATGCCTATCTTGTACAGGTGTGCTCGAAGACCACAGAGTCCAGTCTGAAGTCTAAAAATTGTTTGTTATTGTTCTTTCCTGTTGAGTTTGTTGTTTATGCTGTCGCTCTCTGGTCTGTAATCTCCATTCTGCCTTCTCTACTCCCGCTTGAAAGACTGCTTTAGTGCTGGTTTGGTTTCCTTGTAGCTGTGTGGTGGATGAGGTTGTGGAAGATTACTCCCAGCTTTTGCCAACTCATCTGCTCTCTCATTTCCTTGAATACCACAGTGGGCTGGTATCCACTGCAAGACCAGTTCTGCTTCTTGGAGAGTAAGCCAATGTTATATAATATATTAGAACTAAGAGTAGTCAGTTTTAAAATGTATTTCTCTCCACAACAACATAGCTCTATGACTATGCGTCCAGTTTATCTAAAGTTTACTCAAGTATAACTATTGAATAGTTTTAATGTGTGGTTTTTGTATATATCCGTTTCGTTTCTTTTGAGTACTCCTGTAGTAGTACTACTAGTACAAGTACTAGTACTAATACAAGTATCCAGGTCTGCCCTTCTCTTTAAGAGCATCCCCAATCATTTAAATTAATCTGTGTGTACCCAAACAACATATTATGAATAAACTACAATCAAACAACGTAAAAAAAAGTTGGACAACAGCGCGTGTCGAAATGTTACAGATATTTAGAAAATATATTCTCAACTCACGTGGATAACCAACAATCTGTTTATACTTTTATTTCGTTTCGCGCAGTTACGCGGTTACAGTTTTACATATGAATAACTATATAAAACACAAAATTATAGTCCACATAATAAACACAATCCAGAATCAAATAAGATCGCGACCAGAAAACGTCACCACAAATATAGCTGAAAGGAAAGTGAGCAGAAATGTGAACGGACCTAGCTGAAAGTGGTCAAAGAAAGAGAATTTGAATTTGAATTAGTCCACATAAGTTTGGGTTGAGAATTTATGATCTCTTCAAGTTGGATGACCCACGATCTCCGGCAACTTTTTAATGTTGTGGATGGCCATGTGTCTCGTTGTCACCGGGACAGTCCCGTTTTTTAGGCATGATGGGGCTGTCCCGTCGGCACTCAACAACAACAGAAATATTCACTTGTCCCCTTTTTACACAAACAAAATATAATGAGCCTGAGAATATAACTTACACTTATAACTACTCCTGTAGACCTTATTACATTTCATACTTTTGGGGCCTAAGCATTACGA